AAAAGCATGTGAAATTAGGACACAAATTTGTGAGCTGCAAGTGTATGGGTGGACTGGAAAACCCTGCTGTTGTTTTTAATGCTTTTAGAGTAATAGATTGCAACTGTTTTAACACTTGAAGCAATAAATAGAATCAAGGGGAGGGCGACCAGACTTTAAGAGGCATTGTCTCAGGGCATCTTGTGAGGAATCAAGTGGAAGGGAGACTGGAGATGAGTCTACCTGCCCAGAGTTGTGGTAGGTGAAGGCTCTTCCTGTCTTTAAACCGAGATAAACAAGGAGAAAGGATCAGCTTATTTGAGAAGTACCATCAGCCTAATGCAAGGCACCAAGGCCACTGTTAATTGTAGCACTGAGTGTAAACCCCACATATTTAGGGGCATGCAAGAATGTTTTCTGCTGTCTACAGAGAGAGGGAGAAAGAAATGGGTGTGAATCATATTGAATCCATTCACTTTTGTTCTGGCTGTGTTTGCAGGGCTGTGCAGGAGCTCTCAGAGCAGTCAGTGCACATTCCCAAACAAACATCGAGTAACTCCTCCGGGACTTACTGTTTCCTCAACCAGTGTTTGGGTTTCATTTCATACCCATGTGTTTCCAAGAAAACCAGTCAAGTTGCTGAAAGGATACAGAGGACTAACATTAACATAGATCATGTTTGGAGCTGTAAAAAAAAAAAGCAACAGACTGGCATGATTAGAAGCTCTTGGAAAGGGCAGCCTGCTGGACTCAGGGTAAAAAACCAAAAATATCAATGGCATGTAGGTGAAACGATGTGCCTGGGAGAGCTGGTGTGCTGGGGGATGTGTGAGGTGAATCACTACAGTGTCAAGGCCATTAATGAAAAAAATATATTAAAAATATAGGGGAAATTATATTAGCATACTGATATGCTAAATAAGAGGAGAGAGAGAGAGTGCAGGGAAAATTACTGTCAGTATGATCAAATAGGCCAGAAAGAGTGGTTTGGCATACATGTTTGTTAAAAAAAACCCAACTTTTTTAAAATATTGTTTACCATTGTTAATTGAAATTTAGTAAAACCAGCTCATCATCAAGAGCTTCAGAGCAGGTTTTAAAATACTGGATTGATGGATTCAAGAAAATTTGTTCAAGAAACTCCCAATTTAAGATATGGATTCAGTGCTACGTTCTCTTATTTCAGAGAGTGATGTTTGTATTTTGATTATGAAATGAGTGAGATTCTAAGGAGCCTCTGGATTTGAAATGGAGTCTATAGCCCTTTTTGCAAATAACAAAATAGCTCCTTCTCTTCATAGGTCAGAGCAGTAATTTTGGAATACTTGAAGTCTTCTGAAACATGGAGAGGAATTTAAGATTTTCTATGGAGTTATTTTTCATTGTTGTTCACTCAAAATTATATATGGATATCGATTTGCTAGTTTTTTTATTACTGTTAAAAAACCACATGCCATATGCAGAACTCTCCATACATGAATAGTTTTAAAAAAATTAAGTCTTACCAATCTTAAAATGTTAAATGTATCATGCTGATGCTCAGATCTAGAACATTCTCATTATAGGTACTTTATTTTTTTTACAGCCAGCATCAGATATTAACAGCAAAATGTCTATTGATGACAGAGGAGGTGCTAGCATCTTAGGGACATTTCTGTGATGTGTAATCTTAGTCTTCTGGATTGGAATTGGGTGAGTTAACCATGTTTTCATCAATGGAAATACTGCTGCAAGGCTTCAGTTGTAAACTCTCACTAAGCTAATTGCATCTTCCCACCTTAACATGTAAGAATGTCATTCCCACAGCACAGCAAAAGGGATTACTGTTTATTTCCTGGTAATATTCTGATAACTGGTTGACTTGAACCACTTAGATGGTTCATTTCTTTGGAATTCAGTAGGTACTTGTAGGATGTAAGAATGCCTTGTCCAGTTAGAGCAGAAACTTCAGGCAAAGTGCACTAGGTTAGCAAAATGAGCTAGACAGTAACCTTTTTTGTTTGTTAATGAAGTGAATGTTTCATCAGGCTACAGATAAATGTGTGCTCTAATTGTCTTGGCCGGGAGTGAGGAATTCTGGCCTATGTCATGTCTTTAAAAAAATTACTTCAGCATTGTCATAAATTGATTGGAAATATTTTTTCCTCACATTACTCATGGGATGTCAACAAGTATGCAAATGTGAAAATTTAACATATGTCTGCTCGCTGCTTTTGCATGGTTTCTCACACCAGTTTAATGAGTAAAAACTGTCTTCTAAAATGTCACTTCAAACCCAAGTCCTTTATTGTCAAAGACCACCTCACTGTTACATTCTGCCCAGATGTTAAATAGTTTATTCATTTGTTCATTTTACACATTTGAAATGTAGCCTGGTTTTTATCTTATTCTGGTCTGTCCTGTAGTTAAAGTTTGTGTATCTGGTATTCCTCCTTGTTATACAGTGTTGCATCTTTTGGGTTATCTCTGATGCCTTTCCTCAGAGCATCAGTTTGCATTGATCCTTTTTGCTGCAACACTGTTAAACATTAGTATCTTTCTTTTGATCTCTATGGTAAATGCATTTATTTCTGAATGAAGTATAACATTGTTGACTTCTGTAAAGACTCCCTGACAGCATAATAACAGGGGAGGGACCAGAGATACAGATCTAATAAGACTCAAACAGGTTATTTTGTGTTGTGCCTCCTGTCTCACAGCTGTTCGTGGAAGGTGGTCCCGGCTTTACTTTTTTCCTCCTGGCACAGGAGGCAGCCAGTCCCCTTGCTAGCGTGGGATTTACCACAGGTGGATCAACTTGGAAGCCTAAAACCCAGCATATTTATTGTTTTACTGAAATCTGTCATGTTTACCCCCCCCCCCCCCACTTATTAAACACTGTTTCATTTCACTGCCAGTGTGTTTACCCCAAAAGGTAATAGGGCATATCAAAGAGTTGGAGATGTTACAGTTATCATAACACTTAATTAGCACATTCCATATGTTTAAGTCAAAGTTTTAGGTCTGTCTTTTTTGCAGTGTTAAAATATCTTGGATTTTTGGACCAGAGATGATGGGAACAGGGTGGGGGTGTTGGGCTGGGCTGGAGCTTTTCTGTGTTTCGCAGGTAGCCTCCAGAGGCCTTGAGGTGAAAGTCACAAATCCCTCTGGGTATTACAGTCTTGTGCTGTCAGTTTGGGCATCGCAGTGCCGTATTTGCTAAAGCTTTCAATACATGGCAGACCTGTGGAGGTGGTGAAAACCCCTGCAATAAACTCCAGGGTTTTGTGCTGTTTCGCTTTCATTTGCGAGGCAGAAAGGATATGATCACACAAATCCTTTTATCTGGACTTCAGGCTTCATGCTTTGATAAGAAGAAAAAAGGGAGTTTCGTAAGACAAAGAGGTGCTTTAAAGCATTACTGGATATTCAGGATGTCTTGGCTGTAGCAGAAAAGCGCTTCCATTCTGCCCGTTATGTCTGTCTTAGATTTCATCTACAAATATTTATTGCTTAAGATTTGGATGACAATCAAACTGTGAAGAATTGAGTCAATTTCTAAGAGATCCTCTCTCCCCACAGTGCTCACAGAGTGCAAACTACAACCAGTCATGTTTGATTATATATATATTTAAGGAAAAAAGTACATTTTTGCTTTTGAAGTTGGACAGAGAGTAATGTGTATGTGTGTATTGCATGTACAAAGTATAAACAACAAACAAAAATAATTTTTATGGAATGCCTCTCCGAGATTTTAAAATTTCACATTTAGTAGGTCACTGCAATAAGTACTACTCTGTCAGTGCCATGATGACAGCGATCATTGCATGGGGTTTTGAACTGTAACAGGAAAACATATACTCTCCCTCTCTACTGTGCGCAGTTAACTGCAAGTTTTCGAATATGATAACTAAGAATGTTTTAAATGAAAATAACCATGTATCAGTAAGTGCACGCAAGTACATTGTACTTCTTAAAAGCAGTTTAGCTACTAAAGGACACTCCCTCTCCCTCCCTCTTCTTTTTCTTCTTCCTCTTCTTCCTCTTCCTCCTCATCTTCCTCCCTTTCCCTTTTTCCCTTTTCCTCCTGAAATGTTTTATAGATCATTTCCAATCATTATTATTAAATCATTTTTTTACACAACGGTTCATTTTGAAAGACTTAAGCGCACAGACAGATGGGAGCCCCTCTAGAGAATCAGAGGAATAGAAAGCGTTGCTTCTTTGGTTTTCTAATTTAAATCTTGCCTGCATGGCCTGTATCAGTTGGATCTGGTTGTTGTTCCTGCTCCACCATTCCTGGGCTGCTGCACAGGCCTTCCCAGCCCAGGTTGTGCCAGTTGGTCGTTCAGGGAATGAGTCCTCTTAGAGCAGTGAGATCCTTATTCCAGCTCTTTGTCTTTCCTTGGAGATGTGTCTGGAAACAGCTCTTTGGGAAGCTCCTTTGGGAGCTGTAATAGTTGTTTGTAGTTCTGTTGTCATCAGAGCACAAGCCTGAATGAATCTGAAAGCCTGTTTGCACTTCACTCGACAGGTGTGGTGGTACTGCATTGATGCTGGGATTGCTTTTCCTGATGTAGCCTGGGGTTTGTGTGTTCTTTGGATAAAGACAGGCTATTTTTCAAGTGTGCTAACAGCTTGACACATTCCACGTGTAAAAAAAATTGCTCTGGAAAAATAATCAGTGTTGCTGTACGAATATCTTGTATTTTTACAGTAAGCATACTCGTAGAGAGCAGCAGTAGGTCAGTTGATAGTTCAACGGGCACTTGTCCAAATATCATTAAAAATGTTGACATTAAGTAATCTGGGGGTCTAATAATACTTAATTAACTACTATTTAAACACCTCTGGTCAGATTGACCTACATGTCTAGTTTAAAACTTCTGGTACAGGTGATAGATTTGACATGTTCAGTACATCGTGGGCTGTGGGAGGTAGTGGGATGCACCTTGTGCAACTTGTGATAATCTTTTGTCTTTAAAGAAGAGGAGCAAACAAATGCACAGCACTAAATATTGTCCTTTCTGTTTGTTTTTCAGATTAGCACTGTACGTATATGAATATCTGCTCCATGTAGGAGCACAGAAATCCGCCCAGACGTTTTTGTCAGAGGTACGTTTCCTTGCACGACTTCCCAGTGAGATAAACTTGATTGAGTCTAGGACAACAGCAGTGAGAACCTTGAATACCAGTTTGCTTCGACCAGCACAGGTTTCTCATTCTGTGGAAGCCAGTTTGCCGTGTTATTTTACTTGACTTTGTGTAAATGCTTTTGCTGTGGTTTGTTATCCCCATTCCATGTTGGGGAAAGATTAATCTATTTTCTCTAATAAATGTACACGTTAGAGTCAATGGTACTCTCTTTTTATGACCTTTCAAATTACTATTGATATATCCAATTTTGAATGATGGGCCCTTCCAAAATACACCACCATAATGTATTTTGAATTCTGCTGTCACACACTATCAGTTCTCCTCTTGAGCATCTCTCTGTGCTGTTACCATGCTTTTAACCACTTAATTCTTTTCATCTGTTGAATCACTGTTGCCTACACCCATTTAGATCCTGGTTTTTTAAACATTTTCAACTGCTAATGGAATTTTTACCTTTACACAATAGTTATTTTTTTCATAGTCTTTCAAAGGCTTTGTATGCATCTTTTGAAGGTTGAAGTAAATTATGTCTCCTTACCATTTTACATTTGACCTAGGATATAAATGTGTGCCAAATATATTGAGGTCTTTTGGATTTATTGTTGTTTTAAATCTTTCTTTTTCAGGAATATTTAAGATAATAATAATAACAACAGTTGAATAGTGAGCAGAAGTCATGAAAAAATAGGCAAGATGATGTACTAGGAAAATTTGCTGATTCAGCTGATCCTCCTCCAAAAGCTAATAAAATTACTATGCTGGTGCTGACATTTTGGAGGTTGAAGAGGGAAGGATGAGAATCCAGAGCGTTGTTTGTGATGCTTATACAAAATTCATGTAGCAGAGAGAAGGAAAAGGGGTAGAATTGTGGTAGTATCAGTTTGAGTTTATCATGGCCAGGCTTCACGAACGAAGATTTAGGAAGGCTCTATCCACATTTGCTACAGGCACGCTGGTGGCTTATGAGGCCAATACGTGACAGACATATCCAATTGCAAAAGGCACAGCAGAAAGACTCCTTAGATGGTATATTCTGCGAGACATGACTCTTTCTGCTTTGTCTTTTCTCCTCAAGAGTGATCCTGCGTGTGTTCTCAAAGGCATCAGCTGCGTTACAGATGGCGTGTCTCCAGGCCTCCTGATTGGAGGCCAGAGTAGACCAGTGATGTTGATCAATATGGCCGAGGCTGAGATGTTGTTTCGGGGAGTCCTTGTATCCTCTCTTCAGGGCTCCTCTCTTGCGGCATCCGGTGGCAAGTTCACCATAAAGCAAGTTTGAGTTTATAATAAAGTATATTTTTGACAATTTTTTTTCTCTTCGGTAGAGCAGTGGAAAAATAAGAGAGAAAATAATGTATCATTTTGGCTTTCCCAAAACAGCTGCCATTTGTAAATACTGCACTGCATAAGATAAATTTTGCTCATTTTGTTTTTATGATGTATTTGCAAAATGAGCACTTGACAGAAGTGTAACTGGTATGACATTTGGATTTCTAGAAAACATTAAATACAGGGTCTTGAAACATAGCTTTTAAAACTAATTCAGTCTTGGCTTACAAAGAAACTCTCAGGTCTGAACAACATAATATGAGGATATAACAAATCTTTCAAATTAGAACTGGTACTATCGTAGAGTTAGCAAACGTGGGTCAGGGACAATTAATAGTGTATAAAGTTGGTGTGAGTTTATTTACCTGACTAATTAGCAGTGCAGAAGGGTAGATATGGTGCTGACATTACTTATGAGTGGTTGTATGGCTGTTGGGACTCAGTGCCCTCTCTGCTCTGTCATTTTGGGTGGATTTCATTAAAGATTAAATGGTTCAGAGTAGCTCCAAAACTGAATGTATACAGCAGTCAGTAGTATGTATATATGTATAAATGGCAAAGGTTGGGAGCCCTTCCTTAAAGATCTACAAGGCAGTGTGGCTCAGAGTCATGAAACCAAATTAAAAGAAAATTTAAGTTGGATATCATGTAATCCACTCTGATACTGGATAACTTAGAGATAGTTGTCCTGAGTATCCCTATATTTTTCTAATGCTTTGTGTATACTTTGAATTATGTACATTTCCTTTGAAGATCTGATCCTTCTCCCATGTATTTTCTATCCTGGAAGTTAGATTCTAGCCTTGGAGGAATAATTCCATTAGCCTGGACCAGGTGGGTGGGCATTTCCCAGTTAATCATTCCTTGGCTATGAGTTTAACCGATACAGATGACAATGAGGGATTTTTTTTCTAAGATTAATAATTCTTTGTAAGTCTCTGTGATCAGACTGACATCTGCCATGTGAGGCAAGTGTGTAAATATTTTGAAAAAACAAAACAAAAATCCTTGAAAAGAACCCCAAACTTCCACATTTCCTTCAGGCTTCTTTTCCAGTTGAATTTCTGAAGGTGAAATATGGCCTAGGACATAAGAGGAATTGGATAATTTCCTCACTAAGCCCTGCTTTGAAGAGCACAAATACAGCTTAGGCATAGGGAGGGTGTCCTGCAGACAAAATTTTTACTCTTCACTGATTGATTTTTCAACTTCAGAACCCCCTTTTCCCTTTGATTGTGCAGTGCATCTCTTCATGATGTTATTTTGGAACTTCTCAGAGATACTGTGCATTCCAGATTATTAATATAAGTCTTTCCAAACCATTCCCAGTGCACATGAGGAGCAGTCATGCCTTAGAGAAGTGTTTTTGAAGAATGCGTAATACCTTTTTTAGTAGCTTTGGCCTTTATCTTAAATTTTTATTATTTTTTTCAGCCAGCAGTTAAGCAGGAGCTTTTTGAATTATGTTTTTTATATATTAGCTGCTGACGTGTGTGAGGAGTATTGGTTCATTCTGCCACCTTACCAAAACAAGTGGTAGTGCCTCAAGGTTATCTTTTAAAAACAATTTAAAACAGCAAAATTGGTTTTGAATAGTTTTATTCATGTAATATATCAAAATTACATTGGGTTTCTTCATGTAAGTGTGAGATTTTCTATATGGATTTTCATATGAACGCCAACAATATTTTTAGGTATATGAACAACGTATTGTTCTACAATCTATTGACAGAATTTGTATATGTTTAAATTTCTGAAGAAATCAAATCAAAGTTGAGAATAAAAGTTTTAATCTCCTTTGGAAAGTTATAATATTAAGCTTTTATGTACTTTTACATATATGTATCTTTAAATATCTATCATATTAAGGCTGTTTAAGCATTTAATTAAAATAACCCTCCTTTTATCTGCCTTTACTTCTGTCCCTAGAGAAGAATATGGTTTGGTTTTTTAACAATTTTTTTTTTTTTTTAACAAAATTGGACAGGAAATAATGCTGTGTGTCCTTGTAACTGGAGGAATTTGGAGTGCACACAGTGCCCCAGTTTCCCCCCCAGATCTGACAGACATTCTTCTGGACAGTGCTATGTGGGCTGTGTTACAGCACAAACTACTTAATTTTGGATTTGAGGACAAGTTAATGACTGGCGTTAATAAGATTGTTATATTATTATAGTTTAGATACAGTATTTGGGAAGTATTGCAGAACACAATCACTGTGATTTATGTTGTCTAATGGGTTCACTGATCAACAGCAGAAGTGTGAAGTCAAGAGTTCTTAAACTGCATTTCCTTTGAAGACAGTGCTAAACAAACCAGGTTTTCTGGGTGGGAATGAAGTCACAGCCAGTATAGGCATTCAGGAGAGCTTGCCAGCACAGAAAACCAAGCCAAAAGAGCTTTACATTTTCACTTGAGTGGTGGGAGCCTGGGTTATAACTGTGATGCTGGTTGTAATTTCCACATCGCCTCTGACTAAAGCACTCCTTGAGGATTATAAAACACTGGCTGGCTGTGGCTGTGGGGGGAACACTGCCACCTGCTGAATCCATAACACGGGTTCTGTGCAAATTGCAAAATATTCGAGATTTTAAGGGTAGGTTACAATCAGGTTTTTTTTTGGTCATGCGTTTTTTACCTTAAAAGAACACACATTGTATTCAGAAGCCCCTTCCCCCCCCAAAAAAAATCTAAAATATGCTTCCCTAGCATGAAAAAAGCTCAATTTCAAGTATCAGCTATATCTGTAGGTGTTATAAAGTAATATGGCCATCCAGATTGATGATCATAAAGCCTTTCATAACTGTGAAATCTTGTTTATCCTTTTGATACTTGAATTATGTAGTGCCTTTTAGTCACAGTGGTCACAAAAATGTACACCTCTGTTTTTATTGTTTTATTTTAGATAAGATGGGAAAAAAACATCACACTGGGGGAGCCCCCAGGATTCTTGCATTCCTGGTGGTGGTAAGTACCAATTTTCTTCTCCTCTGATGTTTTAGGATATGTTGAATGCTGGTTCCAGCAGCTGGAGGCAAGAAATTCAGGTGAACATAGTAAAAGGAATGGGAGGATGAGAATTAAGAACCATTTTCTTGTTAAGGAATGAAATAACAGAGAATTAGATATAGAGAAAGATACTGATATTAGATACAGAAAAAAAATACTGCCTGCGTACTGTTAAAAAAGCATTTTCTGGAGAGAGTGGCCAACATTTCTTTCTTCACCTTCCAGAAAATTTTGCAATTAAAAATTACTCTGCATATCCTAAATAATTGCATTTGGGAAAAAAAAACAATATACAGAGCCTCTGTGTGGGTGTGAACTTTCTCAGCCTACAGTCCACAGTTGTGTGTGTAGAATTCTCACAGTCACTGCTGTATAGCCATGGCATTTATTCATTGTCACATTTGAATATATCCAATATGCTTGTGTTTGAAAGAATACAAAATTGCAGAGAACATGTCCAGCTGTCAGCAGTACAAGAATTTACAAGTTTTAAAATGGTCCCATTTGAACCCAACTGATCTGTACAGTTGCATAGAAGGTGGCATAATTTTCACTGACCATTCTTTCATAGCTTTAACTGTGTGATGGCAGCCTAGCAAGAAGAATGTGTCCTTTTTATCTCTCATTTCTGCATTATCTCTAATTCTGATGGTCTGCAGTATAGTACTCAAATTGTCCACAAGGCCTTGGACTAAGTCATAAACTTTATAGGATTATAAAGCGGGTGCTGGACTGAGTTATAAAGCGTTAAGTCTAAACCATTAAAAAACTACTATGACAAATTTTATTATTTTAATCATTCTAACACGCATACAGTTTCATTCCAGAAACTTTGTGTTATATCTGATTTGTGTATAACTCTGAAGAGGTTTGGGGGGAAGACCAATGGGAGTAGGTACCTTAGTTTCCTTTCTTTACAACCCAAGAACATGCCCATCTATTTTCTACACCAGAAAATGGTCCATACACCAGATTCTCTGGGAACTTTTGTTTAGGGACAATATTGGACATTTGCCCAGAGAAGCTGTGGCTGCCTCATCCCTGGAAGTGTCCAAGGCCAGGTTGGATTGTCTTGGAGCAACCTGGGATAGTGGAAGGTGTCCCTCCTGGCATGGGGTGGGACTGGATGGACTTTAAAGTCCTTTCCAACCCAAACCATTCTGGGATTCTGTGAACCTTGACATTGGAAGGACTCCTGTCTCTCTCTCCAGTTTCTTTCCTTTCCATGTTATTACAAATCCGTCTTTGTGGAAGTTAATTGGAGCAGTTGCCGGAGGGATGAGGTTAAATACAAACTAATACACGTTATACTCTTAAGCCATATATATTGGCCTACATTTTTGGTCTGTACTACAGTGGTATTAAAGAAGAACACTGCTTGCCTCAGAGATCAGACAGCAGGACTTGATTCCTCACAGGTGTTTTACAAAGCTAAATTCTTCCTCAGAGGTGTTTTCATCCTTTGGAGGGAAAGTAATGTGTCTGTTTCTACACAGGGACATGCACGTGGGGGAGGTGTGTACACCATAGAATCTACATGAGCATTACAGTGACGTTGTCACCCTCTCTGTAACTTCTTGCAGTGTATTTTGGGATCTCTACTGTGCAGCTCCAGAAAGACGAGAAACATGTGAACACTCAAGTGAAGCAAAAGCCTTCCATGACTATGTAAGTTTTGTGTCTTTACCACATTTTTTTAGTTGAATGTGATAAAATGTGATGGAGCACAACACGAGTAACTCCTGGAAGCCATCTCAGAGATCAAGATGCTGTCCCAGGTGTTAATGCTGAATAAAGAATATCCTTCTGTACATGGACACATCAGGCTGGTCACAAAGGCAAATGGAAGCATGGATGTGAGGGAGAATAATTCTCACAGTACAACTGTGAAACCTCTCTCCTTGAGTCTTTACCAGATGTGTCTTAGAAATACTGTCTAGTTACTGCTGAAATACATTTCTACAGATAAAATTGAAAACCGACTGCCACAACCCAATGTCTTGCAAACACAGATTTGCAACAACAGGAATGAATCAGCAAAGTGACCATTTTCTGTTGTAATGGCTTGGTGTTTTACAGTATGTGAGCTAATGGTGATCTTGCCTTCTCTGTAGTAAACAACAGCTTATATTTTAATGCACCACAGATAGATCTGTTCAGCATATTTTACCAATGCCTCTTCAACACCCTGTACTTGGTTAAATTTTGAGGGTAACTGGTAAAGGAGCTTGAACAATGTTGCACAGTCAGATCTGGGCTACATTGATCACTAGACATAATTAATGGGGAAAAAAAAGGTATCAGAGAGAGGAACAAAGTTTCAAGAAAGTTTTGCACCCACAGAGATGTTAAGGTCAGCCAATTTAGTGAAACACATTCCTCAAATGGGAAATGAAGTAACTCTTGCAAGTACAATTACTGTAATAATTTTTACTTGATCTGTTTTAAATATTGGAAAAGTAAAATATTTAGCAGTATATTTTCAATCCTTGTTTCATTCCCCACAAGGAACAATAATTTTACAGGAATACTTTAAAACTCTGGGAAAATGACAGTAGAGATTTAAATTTGGGAAGATCAGAATCCACAGCGCAACAGTTCACTTGAATGGGGGACATTGTACTCTCAAAAGATACTTTTTTAAACAAAAGCCAAAAATCCAAAACCTGTAAATGTTATGAAACAATTGTGAAACAGAATGATCAGCAAGAAGAAATTTTCATTGAGAAAGTACTTGGAAGTCTAAAGAGGAGGGGAGTACACAAATCTTTAAACTCACAAGACTTTCACTGATCAGTAAGTTCACTATTGAATCTAAATTTTGAGGTATACTAAGCTTTTGAGTAAGTGAATCAAAATAGTGTAAAATTTAAAAAAGTTGTCTTATCGTCACCCTTTATGGTTTCTAACTTATACAGGTCTTGGACTATTACATGACTTTACTGCTCAGTTCTGTTGCATTATGATGTGTATTATCATGGTTCAAGAGGAGTGAGAAAATACGAGTTCTGTGTGTGATACAATTTTGAGATTGTCTGAATGTTTAAGTTACTGTATAAAGTCATGCTTGGTGAAGAAAAGATAAAATCATGGCATGATTCTATATGCATATCCGGACAGGATGTGTGCTTATTTTAGAAACAATTCAGTTTATTTCAGAAGTTGACTCACCAATTATTTCTAAAACCCGTTCTCTCAATCTTTTAAGGTGACAGGAAAAGCTTTGCATTATTTTTGTCACAATTGAGATAAACTCATTTAACACCTTGCAAGACTCTTGGTGTTCCTAAGCATCACCTGTTTTTTGCTTAGCAGGACAGTCTGCATCATGATATTTGTGTCCAGTATTTTATGAGTGTGTTGTATGCTCATGTTAAAGAACATAAAAAATCATTATAAAACATGGCCAAACAAATTTCACAGCAGAGGAAGATGAACATTTATTAAGTGCAATCCTGACCCATGCAGTGTTTTACCACTGACTTCAGAGGGGTCAAAACTCCACCATCAGTGAAGATCCATCAGGAAGCTGTTTGTTGGATTCAGGCTTCTCCACGAGGCCAAGGGGTCTGGTAAATCAAAACCCTGCTAGTCACGTTGCAGGTCAAGTAGAGCATTTGTAGTGGTGCTGTCATATCTGAAGGCTGTAATTGTAAGTACAAAACAGCACAAAAGGCTCGTTTATTAATTCATATGAGCAATTCAGAATTTTTTATTAGGCATGCGTTCCACTTGAGCTAAGAAAAATCATTCCTGCTGAAGGAGTGTGTGGTCTAGGTGCACCAGACGTGTCATCTCTAGCACTGAGTGGGCTGTGTTAGCTGAGGGAATGATCTTGTCTGTCTTTGCTTTTGTGGAGAGAGAAAGGTTTGAGGATGTTTGATGGAGGAGGAAATCACTTGTGGATGATTTAATGGTTTGTGAAATACTGCTGCCTCCGAGTCAGTCAGGAACACACAGGTTGACTCATAGAATGAATATACACAAAAATGTAGTTTCTTTAAGTTTACTTTAAAGTTCTGCAGTATCTCAACTGCAATTGTAAAAATAATGCCTTTTGAGTTCTCCCTCTCCTTCTCAGACAGCGCTTTGTTGCTTGCAGTGCTACAATGCTCATCTTACTAAAAATGCAATAAATAGAAAAGCAAAGGCCTATTCTGGCTTTATAAAGAAGATTTTCTATGCTCATCCCAAGTTTAAGTATTTTCAGCTTCTCTGTGTTTGAAGTGGATTATACATTTATTTTCTATTGAGATTTGCTATTGGGTATATTTTGTTCTGAGTGAACAAGTTTCTGAACCCATTACGTACATTTATGAAATCTCTTTTAGACTTGAAAAGAGGGATGCGTGGATAGGTTCTGCCTGGAAGTTTTAACATATATGGCATAGAATTGGAAATGGTTTACGTTTCAGGTAACTCAGGAATGGAAGCTGGTGCTTGCACACCCAGCTTCTAAATATTGCAGGTGTTTCAGTAGGAGTAGCTTTATTTGGAGCAGAAAAATCCCCGTGATTATTTTCCAGGTACCTGTTACTTTTCCTGGAGGAAAACTTCTCTGTGCTTCGAAGTCTTGTGAAAAATTACATACATGGATGCTCTGAGGCAGAATTTAGTCTTTGTGGAAGAGTTGGTTTGTCTTTCTTCACAGTATCCTAAGGAGATCTCATCATCTCTCTAGTTCAGAGCTCGTTTTTCCAGGTTTTGAGATCTTATGAGAGAAGAGAGTTCCTATGTGCATCTTCTTCCACTTCTTCCCAAGCTGAAGACTGAGGGAAAAGGGGAAATAAAACATAAACTGGATTTTTAGCAGCACCTCTACTTCAGAAAACCACAAATGACTGTCCTCCTCTTCCTCAGACCTGGCCACTTATTCACATCTCTGGACCCTCGGTTTTAAGGAGTAGTACCTGAAAAGTCCTTTATTACAAGATGATTTCTGTACATAACAGTTAAGATATTTTTACTGTCCAGAAGTTCCCGTGCCTCTCTCACCTTGGCAATCAAATGTTTTTCTGTGTGGCATTGGTGCAAAGAAGGTATTTACTATTTCTCACAAGTAGCTATAGTCAAATCTTGATTATTTTCCAGGTAGGGTTTTTACTGGTGTCTTCTCCACAGCTCCTTGAAAGACCGCTCTTGGTATGAGCAAGGATCTCTTGTTTGTGTTTATTTCTCCCAAAAGAGTGCCAGGTCATTTACAAGATAAGAAAAAAGAGACATTCATTGCCCCAGAGACTGTCCAGTCTCATGAGCTGGTACCACATTTCCTATCTGACTTGTTAGCACAGTTTATGGTGAGCTGTGTGACATACAGCTTGGTTTGTGTGAAGGTTGTAGAGTGTATCTAAGACGATGCTATCAGTTCTGTCCAGATTATTCCTTTTAAAGGTTGTAACTATATAAATCAATCTTTTCTAGAAGTTACTGAGGGTAATGTTTGGACACTTGAGATGGCTAATCAGTCTGTGAGATTTTCTTCAGGAAAGTTGGGTCCCTGCATTTATTGCTATGTTTTATGGGGAGAAAAATGACCACTTTCTTGCCTGGATTCATCTTCCTTCGGCAGATCTAAAAAACACTTGCATTCCCTAAATGCCCCAACCCCCCTTAATTAGTCATTATCAGTACTCAGAATTTGAGGGGTTATGAATATTTTTATGTCTGTTTTGGACTAAAGATTACCATGAAAAGCCTATGTGACTATTTTCCCACAAGGACTGTTCTTTTTCTAATTTCTTTCAACTGCTGTCTTCCCTCTCTACCTTTTGTATGGGGATGGAAGAACTTGCTTTCACTCTTGGTTTTCTTGCCTTCCCCATCTCCTGCTACTCTGTTCTTCTGCAGGCAGCCTAGTTAGGGCAACTTCTGGGTCCTCACAGGTTTCTTGATGAAAATTGAATTCCAGATCTGGTTTCCAGCTGCCAATTTCTGTGGAAAATGCATATTAAACTCCTCTGCTTAAAACAGAAATAAAAAAAAAGTAAATCTCTGCTTTGCTCAGGACTGTTGTACCAAAATCAATGCTGCTGGCCTGAGTTACTTATTAATTCCATACCTGAGTTCCACAGAGATGTACAAGACCCTTTACATATTTAGTGATCATCACTAAGTCTGTAAAATCACCTTCAGAATATGTTCTTTCAAGATATGATTCATCCTGCTATGTAGATATTACCTGTGTCCGTGTAGACAGCGGATTATTTCTTAAAACTAGAAGAAATTAAGTGGCCATGGCATTCTTTTTGTAAGTAATATGAAAATGAAAAGCATTTCCTTCTACACATTCATTGTCAAAATAATATCCTTTGGTTTTTGTGTAAATAGCATTCATTTTTAGATAAAATACCTTGCTTTTCTGTTCTTTTCATTCCATGGAGATCATGTCTCACACTGTTCAGGTATATATGTATAGTAAAATGTGTTCTTACATATGGAAGCTAGAAGACTAAGGAAACCTGACATGTGCCTTGAAATCACATATCTGAACACATTATATGGTTAAAGATTGCACAACAATGAACAATTAATAAATCGTATTTTGTGCAGAATATTCTTGATATGTCTCACAAGGTGGTAGGTCCTTTAGTTTCTCCAGTGTGCAGCCAGAAAGCTGTAAATGTGAAAAAACGTGATAAATGTTTAGCATTCTTATCTTGTCAGTCCTG